CCCAGTTAAACATACCAATTTGAAAAACGAACCGGATGCATAGTCGATATAAAAGACTGGATGACGAGTAATTTCTTACTGCTAATTTCAGAAAAAACAGAGGTGTTAATTATTGCTTCCAGAAGTCATAGATCCTCTTCTGGCTATTATTAATTTGTAATTGTCGTTAGGATATGTCCCCAAAACCTTCAAATTGGCTATTATTAAGCCTCTCATTGAAAAACCACAACTTGACCCCAAAGATCTAGTTCATTACAGACCGATCTCAAATCTCCCTTTTCTGTCAAATATACTAGAAAAGGTAGTATCCTCACAATTATATTCCTTCTTAGAGAAAAATGGTATCTGTGAGGATTTCCAGTCAGGATTTAAACCGTATCACAGTACTGAGACTGCTCTCATTAGAGAAACAAATGACCTGCTCTTATCGTCTGATCGTGGTTGTATCTTTCTATTAGTGCTACTGGATCTTAGCACTGGGTTCGACACTATCGACCACAACATTGTTTTGAATACAACTTTGTTGGCATTAATGGAAGTGCATTAGCATGGTTCAAATCATACTTATCTGACCGCCATCAATTCATAGCAGTGAATGAAGAGGTATCATATCGATCACAAGTGCAGTATGGAGTACCTCAAGGCTCAGTACTAGGACCGTTACTTTTCACACTTTACATGTTACCCTTGGGAGATATCATCAGGAAACACGGTGTTAGCTTTCATTGTTATGCTGATGATACTCAGCTCTATATTTCTTCACGGCCCAGTTAAACATACCAATTTGAAAAACGAACCGGATGCATAGTCGATATAAAAGACTGGATGACGAGTAATTTCTTACTGCTAATTTCAGAAAAAACAGAGGTGTTAATTATTGGATCTTAAACCTCTGCATGTAATAACCCAGAACACTGTCTAACACTTGATGGCTGCTCTGTCAATTCTTCGTCATCAGTTAGGAACCTAGGTGTGTTATTTGATAGCAATCTTTCATTTGAAAGCCACGTTTCTAGCATTTGTAAAACTGCATTTTTCCATCTAAAAAAATATATCTAAATTATCTAAATAATGCTCAATGTCAAATGCAGAAATGTTAATTCATGCATTCATGACCTCAAGGTTAGATTATTGTAATGATTTATTGGGTGGTTGTTCTGCATGCTTAAACAAACTCCCGCTCATCCAAAATGCAGCAGCTAGAGTTCTTACTAGAACTAGGAAGTATGACCATATTAGACCAGTTCTGTCAACACTGCACTGGCTCCCTATTAAACATCGTATAGATTTGAAAATCTTGCTAATCACTTATAAAGCTAATATTCGAATATTCAAATCTGTTAAAGGAATAATCTGTTGCAGAAATTCGGTGCGATAATGCTTTTGAATCGAAATAATAGATCCCTATGGGGGTATTCACACCAGGCGCGATCATTCATGGCGCAAAAAAGCAAAAAAAATTTTTTCGTCCTGTGTGTTGATTTTTTCCCCATCGCTCCATGTTGAAACGGCCGTCCAATCAGATTTGAGCTTAAATCACGTGACCTGAACAGCTGCTGTTGCACAAAAAGGCAAGAGTGGTTTTGTTTTGAAAACCAGTGTAAACAAACACCGAAGAAGAGTATTCCGAGCGATTCCGAGAGAGAAGAGAGTGGATGCTGAGTTCTTATGTTTGGTATCTGAGAACAGATTTATTCTCACATGTTCTTAATATAATTTCTATTAGGCTATTTAAAATAGCCACTTAGCCACTGCTAAAATAGCCTATTTAAGAGTTTCTGGACAACAGGTGAGCCCCTTCCACACTCAAAGTTTATGTAGCAGCTATCGCAGCGAACCATTCTATCGAAGCTGGCCAATCAGTAGAAATGACATAGTCGTTAAGTTATTGTGGGGAGCTCGGAGGTTGAACCCTCCTTGTACTATGCCAACCTGGGAGTTGTCAATGCCCTCCCTTCAAGCTGCTCTATTCTGCCGAACTGCTTCCCATGCTTCCCTTAAGACTGCCCTCCTATTGGCTTTAGTGTCGGTCAAACGAGTGGCACTGCAGGTGACTTGCAGGCACTGTCAGTCAGTACTTTCCTGTCCTAAGTTTGGGCCTAAAGACTGTTAAGTCATCCTCAAGCCAAGACATGGTTATGTACCTAAGATGCTCTCAACTCCGTTTAAAGTTCAGGTTATCACTCTTCTAGCACTCTGCACACAGATGGTGAGCAGTGCCCCAATCCACTCTGCCTAGTAAGGACTCTTAGAGTGTATGTCAAGCAGTCTAGTCTGTTTAGACAATCAAAGCAGCTCTTTGTTTGTTGCTTCAGAGGCTGCTCTAAAGGTCTACCAGTCATGAAGCAGAGACTTTCTCACTGGATCGTAGATGCCATAGCCTTGGCTTATACCTCAGTAGGCTCACAGTGCCCCATAGGTTTGAGGGCCTACTCCACTAGAGGAATGGCCTCCTTCTGGGCATGGTCTAGCAGAATTTTTATCAGTGAGATTTATTCGGCCTCCGACTGGTCATTGCCTTCTTTGCCAGATTCTATAGCTTAGATGTCCCTGCCCTGCAGGCATGGATTTTGTCCTCTTTAAATACAAATTTCTCCCCAAGGACGGAAAAGGGTTATGTCTTATGGTCCTAAGCCTATCGGCCTGGGTCTCAACTTTGCTCATGCTTTCTAGGATTCCTTAACTTGGGTTTCCCGAGGCTGGGCTCAAAGGGCAGGCTTGGTTCTGCACCGCACGACTTATATAGAGGTCAGCTCTGCCCTTTCTGGTAGACTAGAGTGCCATTGGTTTGTGCAGCTACATAAACGTGAACAAATCAGGCTGCAGTAATAGAGTAAACAGGAGTTTCTTCAAATGCGTTCTATGCAATGCTCGTTCAATTTTCTCAGGGAAACTTGTTTTTTTGTACCCCCATTCCAAGACATTGAATATTGAGTATCTGAGACCTGATTGAATACTTGTATATTCCTAGTGTTTGATGCACAATCCAAGTACATTAAATCTATTAAAATCAATCCAATGTATACAGAGTTGTGCAGGGAGTAAAACTAATATATCTACTGTATGTGTGTGTATATGTGGCACTCTCACAGGTAGCGTCTTCAGTAAGAGATTGGTTTAGAGATTGTGATGTTCCACTCCTCCTTTACGTTTAACAAAGAAAGACCAAAGCGTTAAGCTAAATCTACTAAACCCCATGTGCGAGAAAAGAAGAGGCATACTTATGATTAAAAGGTGAATGAAGACCAAACGCAAAGCTATATGGTTACTCCAACAGGTGCCGTAGCTCAATGTACCGGCTAGCATTCACACACACCTGCTTTTAAATCGCTATTACTGAAAGCAATACACAATAAATACCACCATTGGAAGCGATCGAAAAATTGAATATAAATTACCGAAAGTACCTGCAAGCAAACTCCGCCATAAACGTGCCGCAATGCCAATACCACCAGCCCCACTCTAATCAAACCATAAATAGAACAGATTAGCCTCGAGCCATTCACAGCAATACCCCATCAATGGAGTCTTATCCTACCTGAACGCAAATAGGAAGGAAAAGGGAAACGCCAGGGAGAGGAGAACCCAGAATCATCAGGACACCACCACACCCATCAAAATAAGAGTCCTTAAATAGTATGGCCACTTACACCTCATTGGTCTGCCAATCACACCCCAACTGGGGCCAAAAGCAGATAGAATGCTTACCCTGCTACATATACATATATAAGATACACTATTTCTATGTTTATATGTGCACATACTGTATAAAGACATTGGTAGAATATTGGAATACTGAAGTAAACTTGTATTTTATATATACAATAAGCAGAATAATTGCACCACATAAAGGTACAAAATTATAAAGTTAGAAAGAATGAAGCCTGTGTTGTCAGAACGCCAGTCTGTCAGTCAAAACCAAAGCAAGACGCAATCCAGAGCAATGCGTTATGACAGCGATGTCTCTGATAGTCTGACGGCAGATAAAAGTAAACAATAAATGAATGAGTGATCATTACAAAAGTGCACATCACATCACATACGGAAGCTCAAATGTGTGTGACAGACTAGAATAGACTTCACAGGTTGATGCACGCATATTTCTTCTTGGTTTTAATAGCGGCTGAAGGGGCACATTTGAGCGTCTTCTTTTACTTTTAATGCCGGTTGGCAAATCTACTGGAAAGTGAATACTGCTACCTACTGCACGTCACTTGCATGACAGCTGACATAAAATAAGGAGTGGGCTTAAGGAGAGCTGATACCAAACAGTTAAAAAAATGCTTGATCTACCCCGATCCCGATCCTTGAGATCGGCTCGATATACCCATTTATAATGTATTATAACCAGTTATAATTAATAATGAATATTTCCCCTTTGAGCTAATTTGCTACAGAATTCCTCAGCCAACTTGACTTGCAATCAAAGATTGCTATGTTTATGACACATACTTCAGACACCGGCAATGCTGAGGGCGTTCCATAGCATCAGCAGATGCATTATGAGATCCCATTAGAAAGGAAACATTTCAATAATTTTATAAAAAGTGGGAATTAATTTTAGTTGCAATCAATATCATGACACAAGTGCTGTTGACTAAGTGTCACTTGTACTACACCCCGAATATTTCTTTAAGTATTTTAAGTTTTCATGGTGGATGGTAAGGTAAAGACACAGCCTAAGTTTAAACAAGACGATGATCTGATATAAAACATGTCATATATGTCCCCAAACGTTTAAGCGAAAGCTTTTCTGTGATCTCAGAAAATACATGGACTGTATTAGAAATAGCACCTAAGATTTCATACTGGGTTACTGAAAAAGTGAAAGCAATTTTTTTTATGTTGGTAAGCAATTCAGTTTATGGCTATATCTCAGTTTTTACTAAGAACATCTTAAACCATAAAATCGAATTAATTTAGATATTCAAAGGACCAAAACCATTCTCATCATGTTTCACATTATAGCTAGTAAGCATATACAAAGCAAGCATACACACCTTTTTTTGTTGAAAGCATGATGAATTGATCCATTTAGCAAGACTGTAATATTTCCACATGCAGCCATAGCAAACTGCAAAGACAGATTCAAACCAATGATATGCATTAATGCAGTTGAATTCCATTTTGATAAAAAAAAATAGAATTACCATTTAGACAACACTGCTGGTCAGCTGAGAGCTAGTATACAGTTTTGTGACATATAGTTTATATATGTTTTTAATAATATGGAATGAACAAGGCTTACATTCTGAGAAGCCTGCTTCCAAAGTGAATACACAGGATGGTTCAAACACGCTGACCATTTTGGACAGGACTGATAGTCAAAACCTTAGGGCAGACAAAGAGAAAGAGGGCTTTAGTAGCCTAAAAATGATTTATATCTATAAAATGTATTCAAGCATTGAATGTTTTCTGTCCATCTATCATCAATAAAACTAGTAATTGTACCATCTTTTGGTGGTACCTCTCTCTCTCTCCTGCTGTCCACACCAGATCAAATCATTGAACATGAATCCCAGCAGTGTGTCTTCTAACGTCCAGAAGGATCCTGTGACAGCTACATAGCTGTGCATGAGGTCTCTTGTCTTACTCCAGAACAGCAACTTTAAAATTATTAGAATGTTTTTAAATTAAAGAAATCAAATCCAAGAGATATCTAGTCAGTTCAACAGAATCTCACAACAATTTGTAACTTTTTTGATTTGTTGCCATTTTTTATGAATTTGTACAACCTCTCCACTCACTCAAATGAAGGATAGATTTTAGGTGGGGGTTAGGGATGGAGCTTACTTTTTTCATACAAATCATACACTTTCATACAAACTACGTTGTAAGAATTCACACAAAATTGCATAGTAGTTACATTTTCTCCAGAGACTGGAGTTAGTAAAAAAAAAAAAAAAAACAGCCACTACATCGGGTATAAAAAGTCTACACACCCTTGGTAAAATTGCAGCTTTTTGAGATGTAAAAAACCCTGAATCCAATTAAAATCATGTCAGAACTTTTTCCATCTTTAATGTAATATTGAAACCTACAAAAGTCATGTAACAAACAAACAAACAAACAAACAAACAAACAGAAAGCTTTAAGGAAAAAATAAAAATAAAATACTTTTGCTTTTAGTACAACAGCCAGTCTTCAATTTTTTGAAAAAAAAAAAAGAGCTCTGGATTTATCACATTGCAGGGGATCTCCTATGCACAGCTCTTTTCACCTGGCAGAGGATGAGACCTCTGGATGGCCAGCGGAGATGGAGACCTCCTCAGAGGAGCAGACAAAAGATATGACCATGGTGGAGCCAATGGAGAAAGGGACCATGGCAGAGCTGAAGACCAGAACAGAGGAGCCAACAGGGGAGATCACCATGGGGAGTCATTGGAGGAAGAGGTCACAGCAGAACCATCAAGGTGGAAGAACCTGTTGGAGCCAGAGGGATGACGATCCACAGCATTATCCGAGGAACCTTTGACCATGGTGGAACCAGTGGATCAGAAGACAGCGTTAGAGCCAGAGGAAATAGAGACCCAGGTGGAAGCAGAGATATCAAGGACCAAGGTGGACATGAACAGTCGGAGGACCAAGGCGGAACTGCATGGCGAGGCAGAGACAGAGACAGAGGCAGAGTCGGTGGATGTGAGGGATAGAATTGCCAAGGTGGAGTCAGGAACCCGGAGGAACGTGATGGAGCTGGAGAGCCGTAAGTCTCAGATTGTGGTCTATACACAGCTGGCATTTTTAAGGCATTTAATTTATTAATTAATTAATTTATTTGCTGGTTTCAATATTCCATTAAATGTGGAAGAAATTATTTTACATGCAGGTATATTTTACATTTTAAAAAGCAGGAATTTTAACAGGGTTATATAGACATTTTACATTGACATTTGCTTTTATGTGATTCATTAAGAATATACAATTGAATAATATAATTAATATTAAAAATATAATAAATTATTATCAGAAAAAGACAGCCAATTTTGTCTCTAAAACACTTTCACTGTAAACAGAATAAAAGAACAAAAATAACTAAATATGCCCTGGAGCAGGTTGGCCATGGCCCTGAACACTGCTAAAAACCAGTCCACCTTCTAATGCCAGAGAGAAAAAAAAGAAAAAAAAATCCTTTCTGTGCAACAGGCCTCTGACAAACAAACAAACAAACAAACAATAAATAAATACATACATACATAATGCAAAAATAACACAAACCAACATGTCTTTTTCCTTATAGGATGGGTCTTTGTTGTTGTTTTTGCTTTATTTTTTTACTTAAAATACAAAGTTAATACACTCTGTTCTTGAGCCCAGTTTTATTTTTAGCTTTTAATGCTAAATATACATATTTAATAAATATTTCTAAAAACTTTCTATACTGTTGTTAGAGTTGTTTTGAAAACAATTGCATGGAATCACCTTGCCACATGGTAAAGTCTGAGTGATGACCTGGAACATTTTTTGGTAATCTTTAACTGTAACATCGCAGGGTGATGACCTAACCACAGCCTTTTCAAACTCCTGCCATATCTTCTCACAATTATACCTGTTAGACAGAAATGTTAAACATTTCTCCAGTTTGCTTTTTTAAGGACTCAATGCAATATTAGCTAATGAAAGTGAAAGTAATGAGACAAATACAGATCTGACATTTTTCTCTAAACAAGTTTATGAAATCATGTGAAAGACTGACTACATAAAAAATATATTATTGCATTTTCCTATGAGTAATTTCAAATGTATTGCTTATAAGGCACTGGGTTAAAATGAACAATATTAGCATTTAAAATGCTTATAGGCCCACATCTTACCTGGGGTTGAGATTAGCCAGAGTTACATATTCAAAACACCGTCCAATGACGATCTGTTTAAGATTTGGTGTAGTCCCAAACTCTGCTGTTATATCCGTAAGAACAAACAGCAAGGCAAATCCTAACCAAATTATAAACATGTAAAACATAAAACGTAAGGGATAAGATAAAACTAGTAATCCGTCTAACAGATGCTTACCTAAAATCATCCTGAAAACAGTGTACTTTCCTCCTCTCTAGCAGTTAACACTAAATCTGTGAGGTAAAGAAAATGAGATAGTCATGTGTGCAGAACACTACAGGGAAGCATCAGGGAGCAGGGAGGGACAACAACAACATAAGCCTGTGTCCTTAGAAATTACCAAACTAATTTAATCACTGCAAAAATGTACTTCACCCTCACATTCCCAAGCGTATTCTGTGTGTCTTATGTTGTTTAGCTGATCTTAAATGAAGAATGTTTTAACAATAAAAAAACAGAACTCACATTCTATAAAGATTATGCAAATGTTTGTAAAATATGTAAAGAATAAAACTAGGCCACAGGAATAAGGTATCAGAATGCAGTAAAGGAAATTAAATTAGCAAAGCACATAATATATAGGCTAATATTATTCATCATATCATGAAAGACTAAAATAGACACCACTTTAGTTTTGTCCCTCTGAGTGAAGAAACCACAAATTCTAGACATAAACCCTTCCACACTCTACAAAAAAACGGGTTCTCATGATTCTAATTATGATGTAAGTTGGGCATTTTCACATGGAGGGAGGAGGGAATGACCATGTGAACACTTAAGTAGAACATTTGTATAAACTGCTATAGGGGAGAGTGTCTTTAATCACTAAATCAAAAATATGAATGCTTTTTTCACATATGTTCACAATTGACCTTATAATTATAAATCACACAGATCTGTGACTATTTCTATTTCAACGTAATTTACAGGGCGCATGTGCACCAAAGCGTTTTTCCCCGTGGCTAGCGTATTTTTTCAGTTGTTCTCAATGGGAACGGCACGTCTTTAACAGATTAAATTGCCGGACTACCATAATATTGTAATAAAAAATGTTTTTGGAGAAACATTTAATTCACTATGCGTTTGCCATTACTTCAGCGGATATTCTGTATCATAGCAACCACAGTGTCTTAACGGAAAAAAAGCGCTCACAGCTGGGCGTTTTCAACAGAGCGCCTGAAGTTTTCAGCTGGCAAAAAACGCTTTGGTGTTTCTTGTTGGTCAGCCTAATTATGGTTTAGCTGGAAGATTGCCAGCATATATCCCTGCACTGCAAAGAACCAACGGGTAGTAGGCTATCCCTGTAACAGTTCCAGCATAGCCTACTCTGAATCAGTAACATAAAAAATAAGACTTCTAAACAACATCCTCATATATCTGTGAGTTTGCGGGTATTTATATTTCACAAACAATGGTAAGTGTCTGTAAATCTAAAGTCAGTTGTGGAAGCTTCCAGGAAAGCGGATCAAGAATGGGTCTCTGCTAGTACAATAAGGGGGCGTTTCTCAATTATTGGGCGTTTCCTAACTGGGATTGGTGTTCCCTTTCGATTCGTTCACTTCCACATTGCATTACTATGCTTATGGGGAAACCCTTCCTCCAAATACTACTGAAGCCTTACTGAATCACCCCAGTGAAACTGGCCAATGGCGTTCAAGCACGTGGAATATGAGGGGCTTCCCACTCTATATAAGGCAGCGCTTGAACGTCATTCATTCAGAATTTTTCCTTCAGCCAACCTTCTACGAGAAACAAGAAGACTATCAGCAAGAGTACTCACCGTGATCTACACGCTGCAGCGGACATGCCTTCTCTCCCCTGCTGTGTTCTGGTGAGCTTCGGACAAAGATGACCTCTCGTTATTGCCTCTCCTACGCGGAGCCAATCGAACTCTCCGATGGCCACAAATCGTGCGTCTTCTGCCCGGATCGCGCCCACGTAGAGGCGGCGCTTGGGGGATCGGACTGCCCCCAATGCTTCCCTTCCAGTGCACTTCATGACCGCTGATTTCTGTCCCTCCCCCGGCATGCAAGATGTGATGTCTTTTGGGGGCCATGGAGGCCACTGAGGATGAAGATGATGCCATTTTTGTGACATGTGACATGTGACATGTGGCCAAGTATGGTGACCCATACTCGGAATTAGTGCTCTGCATTTACCCATCCAAAGTGCACACACACAGCAGTGAACACACACACACCGTGAACACACACAGTGGGCAGTGGCAGTGTCAGTGTCTGTGAGGCAGTGTCTGTGAGGGAGGAGTGCTCCAACAGCCCGCTGGATTACACTGCGCTCCACGGGGGACCTCCATCATAGTGATGTTGAGCTCCTACGAGTCCTGACCAAGGCGCTTGATGAGCTCGGTTTGGAGTGGGCGCCTCCTGCCGAGCAGGCCAGAAGCCGTCTGGATGAGTGGAACCTCCAGTCGGACCGCGGCCGAAAGGACACACCGCAGAGGCCCGGCCCCTTTTTCCGCGTTCCACGACGAAATAGCAAAGTCGTGGAACGCACCACTCACCAGTCAAGTGCACAATCCGGGATCCTCCTCCTGTCATCTGTGGACGACGCTGACAGAGTGGGGTATGTTAAACTATTCCCAGTGGAGGAAACCATCGCTGCCCATCTCTGTCCTGCAGCCGCGGCGAACTGAAGAGTGAGAAACAATGCGTCTCTCCCCTCTAAACCTTGCTGCGCCACCGCAAATCTTCGCTGGCAAGGCTTTCTCAGCATTGCACGTGATGTTGATACTCTAGGTGTATCAGGCCAAACTTCTCAAGTCTCTGTATGAGGGTGGCCCGGACCCTAAAGTTTTCAAAGAGCTCCGACGCACCACGGATCTGGCCCTCAGAGCGACGAAAGTTACAGCTAGTGCGATCAGCCGCAAAATGGGGAATCTTGTGGTGCTGGATCGTCACCTGTGGCTTACCCTGACTGAGTTGAAAGACTCATAGAAGACGGCCCTTCTGGACACACCCATGAATCCATCAGGTTTCTTTGGAGCGTCGGTGGAGACATTCACGGAGCACTTCGTTGAATAGCAGAAACAGTCTAAGGTCATTAACCACTTCATGCCAAAACGCGCCGGCCCGAAGCCTCCCACTCCTCCTCTTCTGCTGCTGTTCACCGTGAACATGAGATGGCGGTGAGGCCAAGACAGCCGTGGCCGAAGAGGAGGAGGAAAGCTGCACCAAGCACCGAAGACGAGCCACTGAAGAAGTCTGCTCGCTCCGCTGTGTTCACCACGCCCCCCTGCCTGTTGCGGGCGGTGAGAACAATTGTCATGTTTGTGTTTTGACTGCTTCACTGTGCAGTGCAATAAAGTAAAAAAAATAAAAAATACAAAACTCACCTCAATATCAGGGCAATTTTCCTCCTCTCACTCCCCTCTCCCCCATCACTCACTCTCACACTCGTGTGGTATAAAACTCCCTCCCCCCCAACGGCGAGTTATCCGTCACAGTGTGCAGCCTGTCTCGCCCGCTGTCACAGTTCACAGAAGCTTGGCAGGCGCTGTCAGGGGTATCAGAGTGGGTAATGAAATCAATAAAGAACGGCTACACGCTTCAGTTCTTCCGCAGACTGCTCCGTTTCAATGGTGTGTTAATATCTACTGTATGGGAGCAGAATGCCTCAGTTCTGCGAGAGGTAAAACACAATCTTCTCACAAAACGCACTGTACAGACACTGCCCATTGCAGATCGCGAGAGCAGCTTCTACAGTCATTATTTTCTGGTGCCAAAGAAAGACGGCGAACTCCACCCAATCTTGGATTTGAGACCACTGAATCGCGCGCCACAGGTGCTTCCTGAGATTTGCATTCGAGGGGATAGTGTATCAATTCACGGTCCTACCCTTCGGTTTTTTAAGTGGCCCCTCGTACATTTACGAAGTGCATGGATGCTGCTCTCTCTCCTCTGAAGCAGAGCGGAATGTGCATCCTGAACTATCTCGATGATTGGCTTGTCTTAGCCCAATCAGAGAGTGCGCTGCTCAGCGACAAGCTCAGACTCCTCGCTTATCTTCAGAGCTTAGGGCTGACTGTGAATATGCAAAAAGCATGCTGGTACCGAGTCAGAACATCTCCTTTTTAGGAGTGGAGCTGAATTCAATCAATATTCAATCACGCCTGTCGGAGGAGCGCTCACAAAAACTGATCAGCTCTCTTGCAGTCTTCAAGTTAGGACACTCTCCCCAGCTGAAATGCTTTCAGAGGACCCCTGGCCAGATGGCTGCCGCCTCAACAGTGTGCAAATTAGGACTCCTACATATGCGACTGCTTCAGCTCTGGCTGAAAAGTTGCGTGCCACAGAGAACAGGCACTTTGTGCGTACGAGTAACACACGACTGCTTAAAAGCGCTGACCCCTTGGCACGATATGACTCTGTATTGCCGGGGCGTTCCTTTTGGCCAAGTGATCAGGAGAAAAACCGTTACGACAGATGAATCAAGCATGGGCTGTTGAGCTGGATGCTACGGCAGACCAGCCTTCGGGACGTGGTCAGAAATGGAGAAGTTGTGGCACATAAAATGTCTGGAGCGCCGTGCTGTACACCTATGCTGCTTGCCAATGTCCAATCCTTAGAGAATTAGTTGGACGATCTTAGAGCCAGGATAAGTTTCCAACAGGACATTAGGGACTGTAACATCCTTTGTTTGTCTGAAACATGGCTAACGACCTCGGTCCCGGACACTGCTGTAACGCTGTCTGATAAATTCTCTGTTTTAAGGATGGACAGAACAGCTGAGTCCGGTAAATCCAAAGGTGGTGGAGTGTGTTTCATGATTAACAAGAAATGGTGTGACCCCAGGAATATCTCCACTCTGTTGCACTCCTGCTCGCCTCATCTGGAACATTTAGCCCCGGCAGTTTTCATCAATCATCATTACTGCTGTTTACATTCCACCACAGGCAGACACCAGCTTGGCTTTATCTAAGCTTCACGATGTGCTCAGCGGTTACATTAACAAACATCCTGACACTGCTTTTATCATCACGGGGGACTTTAACAAAGCCAACCTCAGGCAGGTCATGCCGAACTTTTATCAACATATATCCTGTCCAACTAGAGGTCCGAATACAGTGGATCATTGCTACTCTCAGTATAAGAATGCCTACAAAGCTCGCTCACTACCGGCTTTTGGCAAATTGGACCATGCCGTGGTTTTCCTCACACTGGAATATAAACAAAGGCTCGTTCAAGAACCCCCGGTGCAGAGAGTAGTGACGCGCTGGTCCTCCCACTCAGAAGCTATGCTACATCCTCTTGATGACGTCGACTGGGACATGTTCCGAGCGAGTTCATCTAATGTCAGCGAGTTCACGGATGTAGCATTAAGCTTTGTAAACACGCTAACCGAACAAGCAACAGATACAATAACCATAAGGACCTTCTCAAATCAGAAACCATGGGTGGACAGAACAATCCGTGCTGCAGTAAACAAACGCACTGCCATACACCGCCGGTCTGTCATCGGGGAACATGAGTGAGTACAAAGCATCGTGCTATGATCTCCGACGGGCGGTAAGAGCCGCCAAACTCCGATACAGGGAACGAATAGAGTCTCATTTTCAGCTCAATGGCTCTCGATGCATGTGGCAGGGACTGAGAACCATCTGTGCCTTTGGAAATAAATCCTCTGCAGCTGTGAGAGCAGACCCGTCGCTGGCTGACGAGTTAAACTCTTTCTACAGCCGCTTTGAATGCAATCGAGGAAGCGCGACTCTGCCGATCAGCGCGTCAGGAAGCTGCAGACAGAGCAGCGATAATCATGTAATTACTGTGTCGGAGGACGAGGTTCAGAGGGCCCTAAAGCGAGTGGACGTCAGGAAAGCAACAGGTCCTGATGGGATTTCGGGCTGTGTTCTGAGGTCCTGTGCTGATCAACTCGGTGGTTTGTTTACATCCATCTTTAATGAGTCCCTTGCTACCTCGGTGGTTCCCACCCCCTTTAAAAAATCTGTCATCATCCCTGTGCCTAAGAACAATAACCCCTCTTGCCTGAATGACTATCGTCCAGTTGCCCTCACGTCAATAGTCATGAAAGTCTTTGAGAAACTTATAAAGAACAACATTTGCTCCTCCATCCCTGATACTTTGGACCCTCTTCAGTTTGCCTATTGCTCCTACAGATCTACTGAAGATGCCATCTCTCACATCCTGCATTCTTCCCTCATGCACATTGACAGCAGCAATGGGAACTATGTAAGGCTGCTATTCATGAACTATAGCTCAGCTTTCAATACTATAGTCCCCATCAAGCTAGCTTCTAAACTCATGGACCTCGGCCTGAATTCTTCACCCTGCAACTGGATTCTAGATTTCCTTACTGGTAGACCTCAAGTGGTGAAAGTAGGCCAGTTCCCCTCCAACTCCATCACCCTGAACGTGGGAGCTCCACAGGGCTGTCCTGAGTCCTCTGCTCTACTCTCTCTACACACATGACTGCGTGTCTTCCCACAGCTCCACATCTATTATCAAATTTGCTGATGATACTGTGGTTCTGGGCCTCATTTCCAAGAACAATGCATACTTGGATGAGGTAGAGAAACTCACAACATGGTGCCAGGACAATTGTCTCTCTATGAATGTGAGTAAAACTAAAGAGCTGATTGTGGACTTCAGGAAGAGACAGCAGCGGCCCTATACTCCTCTTATCATCAGTGGAACCCCAGTGGAGAGGGTGAGCAGCTTCAAGTACCTTGGTGTAAACATCTCCACCCTGGTAACTGTCTTTTCATTTTGCTGCCATCTGGTAAGCTCTTCCGTAGCCTGATGGCAAACACCGAGAGACTTAGGAGGAGCTTCTTCCCCCAGGCCATCAGGCTCCTAAACTCAAACTCTTAACACCAACATGACTTCACTTAATTATCAGTAAGACACTTAATATACTGACATTGCCACTTGCACATAGCAATTTCTGTAATCTTTTATTTATTAACTTTTTTAACTCTATTGCTGCTATGTAACTACCCTGTACAACCTGTTTGCACATTCTTCTCTTGTACATTCCTGCTCATCTTAATATTTATTAAGTCTACAGTATACTGTCCTGCGCATTTGTTTTTATTCTTATTTTTTTTATCTTTTTTCCATACCTATATTTATATATCATTTTCTTGTGTTTGTATTCTTTAATAATTGCACTGTCCATGGAGCGGACCTGACTTACATTTCACTGCTGGTCATATATTCTCTATATAACCATGTATGTGACAAATAAAAAATCTTGAATCTTGAATCTAGCGCTTGAGTGCTTTCTCCCGGACATTCTCCACTGTCACGTTCTCATCAGGATGGACAACATGACAGTGGTAGCGTTTATAAATCACCGTGTGAGCTCGCGGCCGCTGCTGGCGAGAGCCCTTCTTCTGTGGGCAGATCAACTCCTCCTCTCCATCCGGGCAGTACATGTCTCTGGACACCTGAATTACGGCGCAGACTTACTGTCGAAGGGTGCGGTGATCCACGGAGAGTGGAAATGGCACCCTTTGACAGTCAATATGATTTGGAGTGTATTCGGTAGAGTGGAGGTGGATCTCTTCGGCGAACACTCACTGCCCGCTGTTTTATTCAGTGACGCGGTCTCCCCTGGGAGTGGATTCACTAGCTCACAGCTGACTGAAAGTACACAAGTATGCCTTTCCTCCAGTGAAACTTTGCAAAATCAGAGAGGAAAGGGAATCTGTTCTGAAGGTGGCACCGAAGTGGCCCAACCAGCCGTGGTTCCCAGAACTGGTGGAGATGCTGGTAGACCCCCCGTGGACTATCCCACTGAAGAGAGACCCGATATGGCACCCAAATCCTGAGTCATGGAGCCTTCATGTCAGGCCGCTCAACAGAGCTTGCCAGTAACAGATGCACTTCCTCAGTGCGTGTTGAACACTATCTTTGAGGCTAGGGCTCCTTCCACGTGGCGTCTTTACACAGATAAATGGAGAGTTTTCACAAATTGGTGCGTATCGCGGGGCGAAGACCCATTCAACTGCCCAATACCAATAATTCTTGCCTTCCTTCAAGAGCGATTTGATAGTGGTCGCATGCCATCCACATTGAAAGTGTATTTGGCTGCTATAACAGCCTTTCATGCGCACCTCGATAATCGCCCAATCGGAAGAAATTACCTGATCATATGATTTTTAAAATGAGCAAGAAGGCTGAACCCTCCTCGCCCTTCCACCCTACCCACTTGGGACTTGGCACTTGTGCTTGATGCTCTTACAGTACCCCGGTTCGAGCGTTCCTGCTTGCGCTGGCCTCTGTTAAGCGAGTTGGGGACCTGCAGGCACGGTCAATTGACGACTCGTGTATTGAATTCGGGCCAGGTGATTGCAGACTCACCTTGAAGCCTAGAAAAGGTTATGTGCCTAAAGTACTTTCGACTCCATTTAAAGCACAGGTCATAACACTATCTGCTTTCCGCTCCGAAACACTGGCCGGTGTGAAGGTTTGTTAAACGATTTGACTAAGGATCAAATAGTAGAATTTGCAGGTCACTATAAAATTAATTTGGTAAGCTAAGATAAACGTTTAAAAGACAACATTAAATCCCTGGTAAAAACAGAGTTAATCGAGCTTGGTGTTTTAGAGTCTCAGTATTTGGAAGGTGCATCAGATTTCATTAATGCGACGCCTACAATGTCTCATCTAACATTTGAACAACAAAAACAATTGTTGTTAATTCAAACTGAGATGAAAGAGAAAATGTTAGAAGCGCAAAATCGTGTTGAGATGTCTAAAGTTCAGTTACAACAACAACAACTTGATCTTGAATGTTATTGTTTAGATCTAATAAGAGATGATAAACTTCCTTTAAAGGGGTCATATGTTGCTAAAAAGAACATTATTTTGTGTATTTGGTGTAATGAAATGTGTTTATGCGGTTTAAGGTTAAAAAAACACATTATTTTCCACATACTGTACATTATTGTTTCTCCTCTATGCCCCACCTTTCTTTTTACAAAGCTCATCGGTCTGAATGAATTCTTGAGACACTCATCACTCCAATGGAGCCTGATTTTCAGAAGCTTCATGACTTTATTTGATGATGCTTTTGAAGCTTCTGAAACTCGGGCTCCATTGACTGATGTTGTATGAACCGAAACCAGCAGGACAAACTTGACCAAACTCACATCCTCAATGTCTTTTGGTCTTTCTCTAGATGCTCCAGCTGGTTCTGGGCTCACTGAGGATGAAGAGACCACAGCAACATCCGGCCCAGATGAGGCAGTAAGGGCAGGTGGAGTGATGGAGTGTCTCATCCATGGCCCTGGACCATTTCCAGGATGCTGCTGTGGACTCCTCCATCCTCACTGCCCACACCAGTCTGCAGACATTCAGATCCTGCAAAGATGCACAAACGTAATACAAAAGCAGTCATTTTAACAGCACAATGTCATTTGATTTCTGTATTAGAAGTAACAAAATTATCTTACTTTATGATCTTATTTCAGGTTTTCCCTTTTTTTCACAAATTGCCCTGATGAGATACATGAAATATCAGGTCACCTTTCCTTGCAGGTCCTGCTCCACCACAAAAGCTCTGCAGCAAATGCACAGGAATCAAGAATCAGAAAAGTGTTGAAATAACTCTGTTTGAAATTACAATAATTCAAATAAACTACAACTTAAGATTTAAAAGATGTTTAATTCATTTCTGTAGTGTACTCACTCAAAGCCTTTGATGGCAGCATTCCTTCATCAGTCACTCTGCACTGGATAAACACACGTGTGTCTCATCTGTCCCTGAAACATCCAGACAAGATTCAAGTCACCTCTGTGATTTAGCTGGTCAATACTGCATTTACATGTTGTTAACTCACTTTTTATCTAACACAAGTGCTCCACAATTTATCAACAATACTAATGGACAAATGAAATAGATAACTTATGTTTAGTTACTCTATGTAGATTTGTTTATTTACATTTCTTCCATTAATCTAAAGCAGTGATGACAACAGTGAATTCTACATAATAGCACACATACATAACTCACTCAGATGTCTGTTCATGTTGTGATGTGCTCATCTGGAATTCTTTTAGAATATTTTCCTGTCAGATATTAAATAGACATTTAATCGTCTTTAAGATGTATATGGTTTATGTAAATGCACTTTGGAGATGTGCGTGTGCTTAATGGAGCTCCCCTGTTCGCTATACATAAGAAAACGTGTTTTACAGAAAAATCACAAATATGCTATACTGTCTAGCGTCTTACACCCTCAACAATTGAACAGTTTACTCTACAGTAGCTTAACAAATGTGATTTTAACACAGGGAACCGTGTTTTTGATTTCTAATACTCACATTTGTAAACACCCTCGTCGCTGTTCTCCGCCCTGTTCGATGATGACGTATCCTCTCCCGTGGGCTTCTGGGATTGAAAAGTGTCCATCGATGAGCACTTCAGAATCTGGACTGAAGCAGTAGGACATCCGGGGATTTCTCGCCTACTCTTTTATGAATACTGAGATTTCGGACATACTACTTTCTTCACATACTCTTTTCTCCTACTATATAGTAGGTAAGTAGGCATATTCGGACGCACTTTAAGTAGACGCACGTCCGAATCTTGCGAGAATTAGTACGTCATCCAGGTAATTCTCGCCTACTCTTTTATGAATACTAAGGATTCAGACATACTTATTCGCTCGCCTACTGCTTTTCCCCTACTATATAGTATGCCATTTCGGATGCAGCCATACTCTCTTTCCTAGCATTTATCCCGCATTGGCGCAGGGTCCGCTGTTTGTCACATCGCTCTCCACTTCTTCCGGTCTAGGGCACCCTCAGGGGCAGCATTGATTTGTTTCATATCTTACTTAATCCGGTCCATCCATCTCTTCTTCGGTCGACCTCATGGACACCGTTCATCAGGGCTCAGGTGCAATGCTCATCCGGCCACTGATTCTTCTCTGCTGCGGACGACATGGCCATACCAACGGAGGCGTGCTTCCCTCATCTTCTCACTGATTGGGGCCACTGCTAGTATTTTCTGCACATCCTCATGCCAGACCGGTCCAATCGAGTCAGCCCAAGCGCCCATCGGAGCATACGCATCTCCATAGTGTGGAGGGCCTGATGGTGTTTGGTGGATGCAGGCCAACATTCCGCTCCATAGAATGCAACTGGCCGCACAATGGTCTTATAAATCTTTGCCTTGAGATGGATGGGTAAATGTTGATCGCATAGAACTCTTGAGACTTGGTGCCAATTTAGCCAGGAGACGCTGACACGCGCACGTGTATCTGGGAGGCTGTCACCGTCTGCCAAGAGATTGGAGCCGAAATATTTGAAACATTTCACTTTCTCTAGATATCTTAACCAAATGCATTTCTACCCTCCGCAGAGGCTACCACTCCATTCACAACGCCCACACGCTCGACGCCATGTTTATATTGGCTTTCTTCAGTTTCCTCAGATGTTTGGAACTCACCATCACGTCCTGCTTCAATCCAAAAATCCACCCAACCTTTTCAGACCTATCAGTGCTAGATACTGAATAAATCTCTTATTCATTAAGCAAGAGAGACCAACTGAAAAGAGGCCACTTCATTATATCTTCAATCTCCAGTCACCAATCCAACCATACCAAACCCTCCTAGCCTACCTGCATTACAGAAGCCCGCAGGCTAAACTCCCGTCTGACCCGCTTTTGTTGTTAATCGCCCCGCTCTGTTTCCAAAAACACCTCAAGTCCATTCTACTGCTTTCCGGCATCCCAGCAGATCATTACTCCAGCCACTCCTTCCACATAGGCACAGCTATCACAGCTGCCCCAAAAGGCCTCTCCCAGCCTCAGATCCAGGCACTCGGCCGCTGGACGTCAGAGTATAATACATACTTATTATATGTAAGTGTGAACTCGTGAATAAAGGATCTGAGGATCCTCAAATCCAAACTGTGTTCATTTATTCATTCATTTATTCATATAATCATATATAATCATTAGTCATTTATATAATTTATCATTTGATTATTTTTATCATTTATATCATTTTAAGTATTTTAACATTTATTAATTTACTTATTAATTTTATTATGCTTCTATATTTTCTATTTCTTAATATTTTTCTTGCTTATGCATTTCCATTATTGTTCAATCTCATGATTGTGGGGTTTCATGAACTGTTTAGTCTGTATGAATAAGAGATAACAGGGAATGTTTATGAAAACTCAAGGTTTAGGGGATGTTGTTGTGAATCAGTTTGGTAAAATAATACTTGTTGAATTTGTGCTGGCCAGACGAAGTCTGAGCATTGAGACATACCCAAATAATAGAGATGACCTCTACAGCCCTGAATGTCAGCGGAGATCAGGACAACTAGATGAGCCCCAGAGACAGATTAAAGCCCTTGTCTCCTAGACATCCACCGGGACAAGACCACAGGAACCAGTTGAGTCCTCTGCTCAATGTGACTTTGCTGCAGCCTGGAATTGAACTGCTGGTTTCGCCTGGCATGAGGAGAACTGGACCCCCCGACTGAGCCTGGTTTCTCCCAAGGTTTTTTCTCCATTCTGTCACCGATGGAGTTTTGGTTCCTTGCCGCTGTCGCCTCTGGCTTGCTTAGTTGGGGTCACTTAATTTCCAGCGATATAGTCGACTTGATTGCACAGATACTATTTAAGCTGATCTGAGCTGGATGATGACATCACTGAATTCAATGATGAATTGCCTTTCACTGAAAATTGAGTGTTTACTATTGTCATTTAGCCTTAATGACACACTATTTTCCTAATTACTTATTAGATATTTGATAATTACAAAAAAAAAAAATATCCTCATTGAGAACTACTTGGGAACTATGACCAGTTAATAAAGAATAACCAATTAATTACTAATCACAACAGTAACGTCTTAAAAGTGAACAATTGGGTTCTTTGTGGAAACTAATTTATGAATATGATATCCCCCAAATAAGTCGGCTACAGGTTGAAATTGTGACTACTACTCTTACCCAGTGTTCGAACTATACCGTGGACTTTGGGGGAGCCCACTTGTTTTTTTTTTATAAGGGGGGGGGTCGTGCGCTTGCGCATGCCTCAAAAGAGACCTTACAATGACTTACAAAAGGGCCTTTCGCACCGCAGGAACCTTTACATAGTACCAGAACTAATTGTGGAACTACCCACTTTTCGGCGTGTTCGCACCGCCGGAACTGGGAGCGATTTTAGTACCGGACTGCCTTTTTCGAGAACCAAATTAGCTCCTTTGTAGCAAATGTAGAGCTGCCAGTTGTCGTTGGAGATTCTTAGTCCTCCTTTCCGTTCTTTCAGTCGCTTTACGTATACGTCTACTTTCCATGTCCACTGTGAAACCCGTGAGACACAACAAACACCGTTCCGATCACAGCGTCCTCCATCCTCCTGTTGTTAATGTTGTTTTTCTTTGTTTCTGTTGTTGAACGCCGCGCACATATGACGTCGCTGTCGACCGGCTTACATCACTTCTTAGTACATACTCTCAGTGTGAATGCAACCCTTTAAATGGTACTGGGAAATAGTTCGCTCAAAATCGTCCCAGTACTTTAGTACCGTATGTTTAGTTCTGGAAATAAAGCGGTGCGAAAGGGCCTAATGATACATATCAGCTACAAGTGTATGCACTACTTGCTTTATGCAACCACTATATAGGATAAATCACTATACAGGATTTACCCTATTATTCTTTATCGGCACAAATTGATAGGTGAAACAACAAACAGCCACCCACAAATAGTCTATAAACAAAGCATCAGGCTGTCTTTGAGTTCACATGAACAACGGTTAAAGTTACTCGTCGTCAGGCTACAGAAGAATACCATAATTCCTCCGTTCAATTAGGCCTAAACGCCTGTTTCACACACTCCATCTCAGGGTGCAAACTACAGGGGAGCTAGGGGGAGCTCGGCTCCCCTTAATAAGACATGGGTTCCCCTGAAAACGGGATTTGTGAAATTTTGGGGGGTCTCAAAAAATATTGACAATGTGTTATTTTGACGTGCAATTTCAGTTTTGTGTAATGTGATCATCGTGGATTATTATTAATTATACAAAAATATAATTAATTCATGCATGACGGCGATTTAAACCTAATTCACTTCAATAAAGATAACTATACATGCTAGTCATGAGCATCAAGGTGTGGGGGCGCTGCGATGCAATTTCCACTCATGTTTAGTACATGTTAGCTCAAAAATTCGTAGAAAAAATATAAACGCTGGACTGGAAGGCATGTCATTCGCAATTATGTGTTGTGGCTGGATTGTTACAGGTCTGCGTGACTCTCCAAACGCCTGTTTCACCCCTTACCCCTTATTTACACTGCACACGTCTGCGGCGCGTTACGGCTCCGACGCGGCTACCGGAATTGATCGCGGTCATTCTAGTCAATGCTTGTGTTTACACCAGACGCGCCGCGGCACGTTTCAAACGCGTCCCAGAAGCGGCTCTCCGCGCAGCTTCGCTAAAGATAGGCGCCTAGTCTATTTTTGACGGACGCCGCGTCCAAACCGCACAGCAAATACAAAATAAAAGTCAAAAAATCATGTCAATTTCAAAATAAACACCCTGTGCAGACTCCTGATCGTATTTCACGGTCACATATCTTTGGCAGGAGGCCAGAAATGGACGACGACGAGCGGTTCATCCTCGAAATACAAAAACACATGGTGTTATATGACATCACTTTTTTACAAGGACAATGAGCAACCAAACAACATCTGACAGGCAAATCACGTGGTCTCGTGAATCCTACAGCTGCGCTTCTGATCCGCTTCTAGTGTGAGTTGGCACCGCCTGGAGGACGTAACAAAACCTCTTCGGAGCCGTAACGCGCCGCAGACGTGTGCAGTGTAAATAAGGGGTTATTTACAGTAGGATTCGCGAGACCACGTGATTTGCCTGTCAGATGTTGTTTGGTTGCTCATTGTCCATGTAAAAAGGATTTGTGATGTCATATAACACCATGTGTTTTTGTATTTCGAGGATGAACCGCTCGTCGGTATGGTTAATATGGTTGTTATGATTAACAACCATATTAATATAGAACATTATGAAAGATAAAGTTATATTATGTTCGAATATTATTCTGTGTAGTTTTCCACAAAAATAAAGTCTGTTAAAATACATTATAACACATTTCCTACTTTTTATACATGCATGATTCAAATTCCTTCAGTTAACACGAAAATTTAAATAAATTCTTTTTCAGAACGACCATGTCTCTGTGTCAACTTTCACTGGGTTTTACTGTAGAATTATGGAGAAAATTAAAGGCAAAGTCTGTCACAATGCATTATAACACTGAATAATGCCTGTATACATGTCAAGGAATGGTCAAATTCCTTCAGTTAACATGAAAATTTCAATAAATTATTTTTCAGAACGACCATGTCTCTGTGTCAACTTTCACTGGGTTTTACTGTAGAATTATAGAGAAAATTAAAGGCAAAGTCTTTCACAATGCATTATAGCACGGACCATTCCTTGACATTTATACAGGCATTATTCAAATTCCTTCAGAGTTAACATTAACATTTCTATTCATACTTCTTCAGAATGCCCAAGACTCTGTCTGTGTCAACTTTCACTGGGTTTTACTGTAGAATTATAGAGAAAATTAAAGGCAAAGTCTTTCACAATGCATTATAGCACGGACCATTCCTTGACATTTATACAGGCATTATTCAAATTCCTTCAGAGTTAACATTAACATTTCTATTCATACTTCTTCAGAATGCCCAAAACTCTGTCTGTGTCAACTTTCACATGATTTTACTGTAGAATTTTTGAGAAAATGAATGGCAAAGTCTGTCGCGATGCATTATAGCACCGATCATTCCTTGACATTTATACAGGCATTATTCAAATTCCTTCAGAGTTAACATGAACATCTCTATTAATACTTTTGCAGAGTGCCCAAGACTCTGTCTGTGTCAACATTTATTGGGTTTTACTGTGGAATTATGGAGAAAATTAAAGACAAAGTCTGTCACAATGCATTATAGCACTGATCAATTCCTGCTTTTTCTACAGGCATTGCTCAAATTCCTTCAGAGTTAACATGAACATTTCTATTCATACTTCTTCAGAATGCCCAAGACTCTGTCTGTCAACTTTCATGCGATTTTACTGTAGAATTTTACAGAAAATGAAAGGCAAAGTCTGTCACAATGCATTATAGCACTGACTATTTCTTGACATTTACACAGGCATTATTTAAATTACTTCAGAGTTAACATGGAGATTTCTATTCATATTTCAGAATGCCCAAGACTCTGTCTGTGTCAGCTTTCACTGGGTTTGACTGTAAAAATGTGTAATATTCAAAAAAGACAACAAAGACAAAAACTGTGGTTCAAGAGTTCTGTGATTTAATACTTCACAGGCAAGGCAAGTTTATTTACATATCCATTCGTAATAGCAGGAGACAGGAGGTCCTGCACAGACAGGTAATAACACATACATACATAGAGAAAAATGCAACTTCTTCAAGGCTGAGTTGTTCAAACCCAAGCACTAATCAGGAACTTTCCCTAAACATCCAGATATGAAGTACTTTTATTCTACTACACGTTTCACACAAAAGTTTTCATTATTTTGAAATATGAAAAATAAAGTAAACTGTAAATTGGTCATGTACATGAGAAGCCGTAATGACCTAAGCTTTCAAAGAAGATTATATGTGTAGCATCTGGACCACTCAAACACACAATATATATTTTGTTAGCTAGATTTAACAAATATTCTGTAACACCCCAGGAAGCCGAACAGGCCCTTGGTTCCATAACAACCCTGACACCAGATACATTTACGACCTTGTGGAATGTGAGCAGAGACTCTCACTGCATTTTCCAGAAGCAAGAGGCACAAATGCACAGTAGAAATAGACTTTTCTACTAATTAATTCATAGGAAAACCTTTCTTTGAATGAACAGTGTATCTTAGAATTTTTGAGAAAATGAATGGCAAAGTCTGTCACAATGCATTATAGCACTGACTATTTCTTGACATTTACACAGGCATTATTCAAATTCCTTCAGAGTTAACATGAAACTTCATATCAGTTATTCCTCAGAATGATCATGACTGATCGTCCATACATAAAATTACATAATTTAGGCTTTTTCTGTTTTTGTCAGTGTTTGTTCGTCTCTGGGGAGTCTATTAAATATTTGAATATTTGCAAGTTTAACTCTATAACGTCATCCATCTATAGGCCTACTAACATTTATGTGCAAGTGCACAGCTTTTACAAGATCAGCCAACGTTTTAAATTCCATTTTAAGTTAAAGAGTAACTTAAACTGGAATATGTAAAGATTTTTAAGTAACTTTTTTAAACCCTTAACTGTCACTCACATTTTTGAAAATAGACGTGAAAGTGCACTATCCAAATTTAAATTTTTATAATTCATGAATGAAAATATTTTGTAATATGATTTTGATGTACCATTTGCATTTTAAAATGGGTTTCAAAGGATGAATTTTGAGATTTTCAGTTTTTTATTGATATATAATTTCTGATGATTTCTAAGATTTTTGAGGTGCACTCTTGTCATAAATTCATCTATTACTTTTCCTACATCATTTTTAACAAAAAACAATGGTAGAATATCTATTTAGGAGTCTTAGACCTTTCCAATGATATATAGTTTGTCATGATTAGATTAAGATTTAATTGTAATATAGTGAAGTAAATTTAGGCGTCACACAGAGAGGGGACGGGTGACAATTAAAGGGTTAAATTAAGATTTAGATTAGCTGATGCTATCTGCTTGGCTTCTGCTTGGATGTTTTTGCTGAATTTTTTCAAACATTCTCCCAGTATTGCTTACATTCTTGAGATGAGACAACATAGCCACCTTTACTCAAAACCTTCTACAAAAGCTTAAAGTGATGTGTAGACCAGCCACAGCTGACAAGACTTAGGAAAGCTTCAGCACACAGAAGGTGAGTCCTATTTGATCTGCTATATTGTGTTGTGTCCATCTCCACACACAGTGCATGAAACCACCGGTTACAGCTGTCGCACCGAATCTGTAAAAATAACAAATACAACACCTTTATATAAAAAACACATACAAAACTTTCATTCAAACCGATTGTATAGACAAAATCAGTATATTTTTAACATGTCCAAACTTGAACATTATTTCACCAAAAATGCTACTGTCATGGTTACAAGTTGTCTTTTATTATTTACAGTAGCTGGCAATCTGCAATAGTTGATAATATGAACTTGACAGCTACCAAAGACCAAGTGCAAGGAAAAGAGCTATATCCTTAGTGTGTAGCAGATATCTATTTTCTATTAAAGCCACTAAATGCAAGCACGTTAATCCAGTAACCAGCACAAAATAAAGCAATTCAAAATAACACCTTACCCAGCCAGTAATGGAAGGCTCCGGACTTGGTGGTTCGCGTCGTGAACACATGGAACAATTGTTCTCTGCGTCAAACACTAATGAAAAAACAATTTGACAATTTATACTTTGACAATACAAATATAAATGTAAAAAAAAAAATTACTAAATAAATAAAATAAAATAAACACATACCTGAAGCTTCAAGTATTTCAAGTGCCAAAGCTGTGCGTTCCTGTGCCATCTCTTCTGTAGTAGTCCCAAATTCCATGTTAGGTAATTTAGGAAATGCCTCCATGACTGCCTTTGCCATCTAAATAAACAAAAAGCAAACAAACAAATAAGACAGAAAGAAAATATGTGATGTACACAATATAAATACTGTATGTACTGTATATTGTGTACTGTAGTCATTTAAATATTGTAAATAGCTCTTCTCCAAATATGGAGATAGCACAAAAAATCATTGTCAGAATACAAGCATGTAACTAATCATCTATGTTATTGTACCATAGTGACCATCACACCACAGCTATTTCCATCTTGCTGAACTGGGTGCTGCATAACAGCTCCTTTGAACATAATATCTGCCCACTCTCTCTTACGGTGGTGGATAGTCATTATCTGAAAGTATTCACTGTGTGACAATGAAATGTTAAAATATAAATCTTCTTTATATATCTGCAAAATACTACAATGTAATTACATAGATGGAATGCAGTGTATATGATTACATTGAATAAACTAAATTGCATAAGAACCAGAATTTCTGGGCAGCAGCTTCTGAATCTGCCTATTCTGCAGGGTTGCTTGAAGGATCCACCAAATACACACTGCTTTCTGCTGCATTGATGTACTGTAACCACAAGAAAAAATACATTATTCCACAAATATTCACCACAACACCAGAAACATGGGAAATGTACATCAATATACAAAGTGTTAAATAAAAACTAACCAGAAAATTCCAGTGTATATTTTCAATGTTAACAAAGGACACAATGGCTTTGTAGTTGTCAAAGTTAACCTGTAACACATCAAAATTATTTTCATTATATGATATTAACACAGAAATGACTTCAGTTAATAAACATTTATCATTGATATTATTTTTGGTTTTGCTTCATCATGTACATACAGTCAAACTCGTTTAAAACGTCTAAACAATTATCAATCTCTGAACCCTTTGTACCTTTGCTACGGGCACGGCTCACCTTGGGATTGGTACACCAAGGCGATGGCATCCACCTTCCAGTGGGCCAATCTCTGCTTGGAGACAGCCTTCCTTTTCTGCTGGCCTCAAAAGCAGACAAGGAGCTGCTCAGAGCTTCTGAAATTCTGGGTGCGGTCCACGTATATGCCTAACACTCTTACGGGACACAGCAACGCCAAGGCTGGATCTGCCTCCTCCGGGGGCAACGCTTGCAGGTTCACCACCTGATCTCGGAAGGGAGTGGTGGGAACCTTGGGCACGTATCCAGTCCGGGGTCTCAGGATAACATGAGAGTAGGCCGGCCCGAACACAAGGCACTCTTCACTTAACGAAAATGCTTGGAGGTCCCCGATCCGCTTGATGGAAGTGGAGTCTGTTCACGAAGAGGAGCGCTTTCTTAAGAGACAGGAACTTTCGCTCAACTGAATCAAGCGGCTCAAAGGGACCCCTCTGAAGTCCAGCCAGGACAATAGAGAGATCCCAGGAGGGTATTAGAGGTGTCCTAGAAGGATTCAACCTTCTGGCACTCCTCAGGAACCTAACGTCATGCTTTCCCAGGGACCGGCCGTCCACTGCATCATGATGTGCTGCGATAGCAGCGACATACACTTTCAAGGTAGAGGGTGACAGCCTACGCTCCAACCTTTCTTGCAGGAAAGAAAGCACGACTCTAATCGAGCATCTCCAGGGGATTTATCGGTGAGAAGAACATCAATTCGTGAACAGACTCCACTTCAAAGCATAGGCATGCCTCGTAGAGGGAGCTCATGGGAAGCAAACAGGTCCACCTGAGCTTCCCCGAATCGACTACAGATCAGCTGAACTGTCTGGGGATGGAGTCGCCATTCTCCAGGGAAAGTGAGCTGTCGTGAGAGGCAAGATACACTGCCAACAACTCCAGACAGTTAATGTGCCAAAGCAGTCGAAGCTGCCTGCCCGTTGCACGTAGCGCCACAGCCCGTATTGTAGGCATCTGTCGTGACAACGACATGCCTGGACACTTGTTCTAAGGGTACCCCAGCCCGTAGAAAAGCAAGGTCCGACTAGGGGCTGAATAGGTGGCGACACATCGGTGTGATGGTGACACCATGTGTACCGCCACGCCATGCCCATCTTGGGACTCGGGAGTGTAACCAGTGCTGAAGTGGTCTCATATGAAGCAATCCAAGCGGCGTGACTGTGGCCATTGTGTGTGCCATATGTCCCAGGAGCCTCTGAAGGAACTCAGGTAGTTCAGCACCGACTGGGCACGTTTGTTGGTGAGACGTGCCATCATACTCACCGAGTCTAACTCCATACCGAGATAAGAGATTCTCTGCACAGGGGAGAGCTTGCTCTTGTCTCGGTTGACCTGAAGCCCCAACTGACTGAGGTGCCGATCGCACAACTCCTCTCACGACCTGACCATAATGAGCCAGTCATTGAGATAGTTGAGGATCCTGATGCCCACTTCCCATAGTGGGGCAAGGGCGCCCTCCGCGACTTTCGTGAAGACGTGGGGGGACAGGGAGCCAAAGGGGAGGACCTTGCCATGCCCGACCCTTGAACACAAACCGTAGTAACGGTCTGTGACGAGGAAGTATTGAGACATGAAAGTACGCATCCTTCAGGTCGATCGCTGCAAACCAATCCTGGGATTAAACGCATTTGATAATACGTTTCTGCATCAGCATCTTGACCGGGAGCTTGTGAAGGGCCCGATTCAAGACTCGCAGATCCAAGATAGGTCGAAGGCCACCGCTTTTCTTCGGTATGATGAAGTAAGGGCTGAAAAACCCCTTCCTCATCTCGGCTGGAGGGACCGGCTCGATTGCATCCTTGGCCAACAGGACAGCAATCTCCTCATGCAAGACAGAGGCGTCTCGGACTGCCACCGAAGTCTTGAGAATGCCATAGAACTTGGGAGATCGCCTGGCAAACTGAATTGCGTAGCCGAGTCGAACCGTCCGAATGAGCCAGCAGGACGGGTTGGGCAACGCATGGCATCAATGGGACAGTCGACATACCCACAGTGGTGCAGCGATGGGGAGTTGTGCTATAGTCCTCCACGTCCACTGCATTCTCAAAACAATTTGATAATACCTAGAATATCAAAATCAACTGCAGGCGGCAGATCCTTCTCCTTTTTAGCGCCCAAACTCTGGAATAACCTACATAACATTGTTTGGGAGGCAGACACATTCTGTCAGTTTAAATCTAGATTAAAGACCCATCTCTTTAACCTGGCTTACACATAACACACTAACACATTTCTAATATACAAATCCGTTAAAGGATTTTTAGGCTGCATTAATTAGGACAACCGGAACCGGGAACACTTCCCATAACACCCGATGTACTTGCTACATCGTGTAGTAAATCAGCTCAAAAGGGAAATATATATGACTAATTATAACTGGTTATAATTAATAATAAATATTTAGATTAGATCTATACAGTAACTGTAGCAGAATCAATATTATAATTATTTGATCTGTCCGTCCACCGAGCAGACAATATAATCATTTATCAATTCAAGGAAAGATTATTTTCCTGGCCAAGGAAGAATAACTTTCCTTCTTTATGCAGTGCTAGCAGTAATTTAGCATATGTAGCAAGGGTTCAAACATTCATTGACTTCGAATTGTGAGCAGCAAACAGAGGCAATCGATTGTGAATATAAGGGATTTAATAAATGAAACTATATCTAACATATAACTAACTAAGCAAAACACATATATACAGAATTAAGCAAAGTAAGGAAAAGAGAGAGAAAAGTAAAAGAATGGCAGTATTTCACATCAATTAACCACAACCTATGAAAATCATCAAAGAATCAAAAATCACCTTAAAAGGGGCTGAAACTTAAACACGCATCTAAATAATTGTAAACGGTTACTTGCATTGGCTTCGATTGCTGAACAAGAGTCCTGATGCGGTAGACAACGGAGGTCTTTGATGAGTTCTTTGAGTGAGCTGGAAGTTTACTTCTGGTTCTTCTGAAGATAGGAAAGTCCCCAGCGAAGTTACTTGAAGATAAAGGTCTTGAGAGTCTTGGAAAGGGTTTTTGAGGGTGCCTTTTGAGGGTTTCTATTCACCACCCAACTTTGGGTGGAATAGCCAACACCAGGCGTGAATTTTTTGAGCGGGAGAAGTTTCCTTTGTCTCCCTTTATGGCTCATTTGCATGTTTTATGGCCGGTCTGGAATTGGTTCAGTTTTAACCCAAAATATAGTACAAATCGTATGATGCGTTTCACAATCACATACTGTAATCATTGTTTGAGGAATAAAGAGCAGATAATATTGATACCAAGAAAGAAACATTTAGAATAGATTAAACCAAAGATAAATCCTTACACCTGAATATCAGTGTTTAGGGCTTAACTAATATAAATAACGAGTGGTAACTCAGCTAATCTAATAGGGAAACGTACAAACAACACATGCAATATACCAGATATATTTGTAACGGATTAATTATAGTCTAAATAGGGTAAAGGTTTACGTGAGTGTGTGTGTGTTGTAGTTTGCTAGTCAGCCCAGCCCATCGGCGCCGGGGGGGGGGGGGGCAATTTTTTTGCT